TTGAAAATTCATCCTGAAGGTTGATGCTGAATTGGAAGAGCAAGAAAAAAAACTGAAAGGTACAATTATCCGATAAGCTGAACATGTATGAAGCTCTCCTCACTCTGAAATGTAGAAAAACCAAACCAAGTTCTAATGGCATGTTTAGCTTAAGGAGGATATTTTTACTATTTATATTATAATATTTAAAAAAAATATTATAATTTTATTAAATTAAAAATCTTTTTATCTCCTATATTTTTATTTAAGGGGAGAAGAAGGATATTTTTACTATATATATTACCGTATTTAAGAATATTATAACTTTATTAAATTAAATTTTTTTATCCCCTCTATTTTTATTAATTTTTTTAAAATCAAATATATTATAAAAATTGAAGGAAGAGTGTAATAACTTTTTTATTCAGATGAAAAGAGGAACCCACAATTAGCATTTTAAGAAATTTTCAATAGAACATTTTCAGTGAAATATTTTAATTTCTTATATTACCATATTTAGCTCCATGTATTATTTTATTCGTAGGGTACAAATTCAATAATTTATAAATTTAAAAAGAATGGTATCATAAGAATAATCTTTTCATATTATTTTTTGATATAATTTTTACATATTAATAAATTAAAAAATATATTAATATCACTTAATTTATATAAATAAAAAAAATTAATCATATAAAAAATACATTAAATTATAAAACAATAAAATAAAAAACTTATATCAAAATCAACTCTCATTTATAAATAACAACAACCTCACAATCATTACTTCATTTATGAATTTAATAGTAATAAAAATACAGGCCTTACCGAATCAAAATTTGAGCCAGAAGGTGGGCCCGGCTGGTCGAGCATCTTTCCAGCTTGTCATGTGCAATAAATAATTTATCTACAGGTGTTTCTATGCTCCATCTCTAAGTAGAATTATTATGGCATCTTCAATAATTAATATTATATTTTTTAAATTTAATTATTTATTATATCTTTATATTACATTTTTCATAATTTTATATTTTTTATGTCTTAATAAATTAAAAAATATAATAATTAATTAAAATAAAAAAATATAATATTAATAATTAACAATACCATAATAACATTACCCCACCCCCCCCTCTCATCTCTACTCCAGGAAAGGTTACTCTCCAAGTTTACGGGCCATCTCACAGAATATTGCGCTTGCCACTTGCAGGCCCATAGTCTAAGCACTTACCATGCAAGATACAACCATTTTTTCAAGAGTAAATACTAAATAAAATCAAATACAAAGCAGTAAAATTTTGTAGATCTTTCAAGAGAATGCATACAAAGCAGCAGAATTAGAAGTGGCCACTGGAAACCGTATCCAACACCAAAGTCTACCACATGAAGAGCTGCTGCCTTCTCAGCCATGTTGTAGATCGTTTTGCTGGCAAAGCCATTGCCAACTTCCTAAATGGGCAACGAGTAAAGTGAAGTTTGTAAGCATTCATAATATCACCAGCGGTTATTCTGGGAGTTGGGGGAATATTTGGAAATCCAGTTCCAATACTGTCCAAGCGTGCCTCAAGGCCATTGGCAAAGTAATGGGCCAACCTCTG